CCCCCCCAAAAAAAAAAAAAAAAAAAACCCATGACATTTTTCAACATAATCAATGCAAAGGGGAGAATTATGGGCGTTGTAGTTTCCTAGCAAGCACATTATTATTATTATTATACAGGATTTATACAGCGCCAACAGTTTGCCAAGCGCTTTACAATATAAGGAAGGCATTACAATCACAATACAATTCAAGACAAGATGGTAAGGAGGGCCCTGTCTGTGAGGGCTTACAATCTAAAAGGGAGGGGGAAGTGATACATGAGGAGGTAGCTGTGTGGGGATGAATTGTTTGCGAACGTGATGGTTGAGGGGTTAGGTTGAGGTGGGATAGGCTTCCCTGAAGAGATGAGTCTTAAGGGATCACCTAAAGGCAGTCAAAGTGGGAGACAGACGGACAGGTTGGGGTAAAGAGTTCCAGAGCATTGGAGAGACTCTAGTGAAGTCCTGGAGGCGAACATGGGAGGAGTTGACAGGGGAGCTGGAAAGTAGGTCTTTTGAAGAGCGGAGGGGACGGTTAGGGTGATACTTTGAGACAAGGTTTGAGATCTAGCCGGGGAGCAGAGTTGGATGGCTTTGTAAGTCATTGTTAATATTTTGAATTTTATCCTTTGGGCTATTGGAAGCCAGTGCAGTGATTGGCAGAGGGGGGGTTGCAGAAACTGAGCGGTTGGTTAAGTGGATGAGTCTAGCAGCAGCATTCATGGTAGGCTGAAGGGGATATAGCCTGTGTAGAGGTAAGCCAATGTCACTATGCACTTGCTTGTGATGAGGTCACAGCTACTTTTTCTATTCTCTCTTTCTTCACACAGGCATTAAGTGCTTAGAAACGGCATTCCTATCCTTTGGGACAAACAAGGAATATGCCTAACAGTAACTGTGTCTGGAGTTCAGCTTTAGCTGATGTTTTGATTTTGGCTAGACATTGCCGGGTTAAAATTATTAACCTTCTTCCTATATCTCAGATCTCAATATTGAGACTATTGCAGAAACTTCCAAACTGTTATCGAGACATCTCTTTAAAAGATTGACTTAATGTAAATAATGTTGCCAATGTGTGTTAAAGCGGAATTAAACTTGCTTTAAAAACAAAAAAAACCCCATCAGGTGGTTTTTCAGCAGAAAAGATATACAAATTGTATTTTGCCAAAAAAACTTTTCTCTGGATCCTGGTGACTTTCAGTTTTCTGCATACACTACACGGCGTATGCAGCATGCAATGTACAGCCCGGCGCGATTCATGGCATGTGATGAATAGAGCCAACTCTCAGAGACAATGTAACACTTCTGTGAGCATTCATCTCCAGTTATATCATGAGTGGCTGTCAACTGGCCAAAGCGAATTGCCATAGGATAGGATCTGGAAATATTGGTGGTGATATACTGTTAGAACCATCATCACTAAAGGACAGCACAGAATGAGGTAGGTGTGCGCCATAATCTGCAAGTTGTGCAATCTGCAATGATGTGCATACTTGTACATTATAGTAAAATCTTACCCCCGCCAGTGAGTTTACTTCCACGTTAATTGCTCTTATGTAAAGTTTGTAATTGTATATGAAAATGAGGGCAGTTCTATTTGTATATTACACATGCAGACTCCAATTCCTAATTTGCAGCATCATTTGGTTGTGCTTTATGGCTCCTTTACCCAGTGCATGACTCTAAACCAGCCAACAGTTTAAAAACACAACAGTCCCTATGTCGCTGATATTTCAACAGTGAATCAGTTAGGCAGGGCCATCTTAGATAATCTACCCTGCCTCTAGCATTCTATATACAAAGCTCTACATTTAACAACAAAAGTATCAAGAGTTGTGCCTTCAAAGATGTGAATGTTTTATTAAAGCTGTCTGAAACTCAATAGTAATATGTCCCAACTCAAAATACACTGAAGGGAATTCATCAAAACTGGAGCAGACAAAATCTGGAGCAGCATTGCATGGCAACCAATCAGCTTCTCTCATTCATTTTCAAATCTTTACTGAACAAACTGAAGAGAGAAGCTGACTGATTGCCATGCACAGATGCTCCAGATTTTGTCTGCTCCAGTTTGGATAAATTCCCCTCACTATATTTTTCCTGTGAGATCCTTAGCCCATGGCGACAAAGAAATGAAAAGGTCAAATTATACATACAGTACAGAAACAACGTTTTCAAATAGTAGCCTGTGCCCTTATGTGTACATACATTTTCAGAAAAATCATGTACAAATAAAGCCTGCTTACAAAGAGGGTGTACGGCCCTTCTAGGAGTGCTACAGGCCAACAGCCGCATCTCTGCAAAACCTTCAGATAATGCTACTCGCTTGTCTGAATAATAGGACGGTGGTCAGAAATTGGATTATACACACTCATTCATTACCTTCAGACTGTGAAATTAACCTATACCCTGTAAAGCCCCTTTTTGTTTTCCTTTAAAAAGTTAAGGGTATGTTAACCCCAACAATAAACTTTTCTTATTTGCTCCCTTTTGGTCTGTTATATACACCATTGAAAAGTTAGAAAAAAAAAAAAAACTATTGATCCACATTCCAGTGAGCTTGTAACTTCCTGTACTTTCTCCCTCTGTTGAACTGAATCCCAAGCAGTGTCATTAACTCTTTACAATTTAATTCTATGGACTACTGACCCCCACCTTTATGTTATGGTGACCATGAGGGGGTGTTCTATAGCCCTAACTCACTTTCTGTCCTACGGTATCAATGCTCCTATGCAAATGCAGAAGAGCGGGTTAGCATTGTCCCCCTTGGACAGGAAGTGTGTTACCGGCAGGAACACTAAGTGAAAGGGCCAGAACGCACTGCATCGCATTGTGGCTGGCTCCGTATGTTGTGGTACAGGAGGGGGCATTGCAGTCCTTTGAAGTGAATGGCACCGTAGCCACGCCCTCCGGCCGCAATGCAATTGGCCACACAAGCCACATTATGCCTGCGGTCCGGTCCAAACAAAATAGTGTTTGCAGCATTTTGTGCCTTGCGTTCCCGTGTGGCTAATCGCATTGTGGCCGGAGGGCATGGCTACGGTGCCATTCACTTCAATGAACCGCCACACCCCTCCTGCCCCAAAACATGCTGAGCTGGCCACAATGCGATGCAGCGCGTTCTGACCAGAATCAGGCCGGAACGCACTGTGTCTGGGTGAACGAGGCCTGAAAAGAAGAAACCTAATGCAGCCACCACATCTAAAGACTAGTAAACTGCAAATAATGACATTTTTGTTTAAGGATTTAGAGAAAATCTGAAGATTTTATATAGAAAATCTGGTTTAGGTCACTATCAAGTGCCAGTTTTCTGTTATATCAGAAGCATGTGGTGCAGATTTAGAAAACTAGAAAGAGAACAAATCGTGCATGTATGTAAAACAGAGTTGTACTATATCCTTGATTACGACGTCTATTCACCTCTACGGCCAGAAATTTAACTGCAACATTTCCACATACATTTGTGGCATTTCTCAGTTAAATGACCCAATCCTGTACTTTCATTAAGGAGCTTCTGCAAGACTCTGATGACGATTGGGACATTTAAAACTGCTCCCTGGAGAAGATGTTAAACTCTTCCAACCGCCAGAGACACTCATTATAACAAAGACATTTTGCTGCCGCTTGTTTCTGGCTTTTTGTCTCTTTGTGATGGGCCAATCCTTCCCTGTTCTCACTACAGAGAGCAAAGCAAGTTAACTAATTGTACCTGCCACGGCTCAGTCAGCACAGGACAGATGTCCCACCACCCACTGCTTTAAGGGAGACATTTACTTATATGTGGCCATTCTGAGACAAGTGGCTCATTGTAAGATGATCAAAATCTGTCTTTGTCCACAAGAGGGCACATTTGCAAAGGAAGCAACATTTAAAAGGAGAACTATGGGGTTAAGTCTTTTCCCCATAGTTCTCCTTAGGGTAACGGGAGGACACAAACTAGCGTCCTCCCATCACCCTAGGCTCAGTATACCGCGAGCTGTACAATTGTGCCGGGATATACCCAGCTGCGGGACCGACAGCTGGCTCTGCCTATCTAGAGGCAGAGCCAGCTGTACCCGCCCCCTCCCCCGTCCGATCCACCAGTGAGCGCTGGCAGATTGGAGCAGGGAGGGGGGAATCCAGCCCCTCCCCTGTCACGGCAGAGAGCCGTGACAGGATCGAGAGGTGAGCGAACGCCGGTATGTGTTCGCTCACCTCCCGATCTACTGAGCCG